GCTGTTGTTGTTGTTGTTGGTTGTGGTGGCGGTGGTGGTGGCGGTGCTGGTGGCGGTGCTGGCGGTGCTGGTGGTGCTGGTGGTGGTGCTGGTGAGGGTCTCCGGGATGCCTTCTTGCCTCTACTGGGAAACCTTTCTCAGTTCCACGTTTTCTGCTCCACTCCACTTCGGGAGGAATTTGGAGAGAGTAGCATGGCCATTAAGTGTCGCTTCTTCACGAGTGAAGTAGAGCTGCTGTTGCTGCTGCTGCTGCTGCTGCTGCCGGCTGCTGACGCTGCGGTGGTGGAGGCGGCGGCGGCGGCCGTCGTCGTCGTCGTCCTCGTCGTCGCGGTGGTGGTGTCGTCATCGTCGTTGTCGTTGTTGTCACTTGAACCCTTGTCTTTCATAATATGCAAGGACACTGTCATTTTTGACTGTCACCAGAATACACTTTTTCTTATCATTCATTCTTCATATTGGAGCTACTTGTTCTCCAGCAGCTCAGGATCAGATGTGCGTGGCAGAGTCCACTTTTCAAGAGGACAAGCGGCGCGTTCAACGACAGCACCTAGTGACCTAGTGTGTTGTACAGTCACCATCCAGTGCAAACTCTGCAGACAGTTGGATGGTGGATGGCCTTCTCCAGGTCTTGAAACGAAAGCCGGCAAGCCAGGCAAAACATGTTTCTTAATTGAACGCTCAGGGAATACACCTTGCTGGAGCTTCACTTTCCCATGTAAGCCCTGTTCTATTCCCTTCAGACTAGGCGGGTAACCAGGCTCTAGCTAAGCTGAGCAGAGCCTGTGCTGCAGAGTTTTTTTTTTCTTTTTTGCGGCCCAGCTTATGCTAGTTAGAAGTCTTGCAACCAACTTCCAAAAATCATCAGCCTGCAAGGTTGCGGGTCGAAGTGCGCAAGCATCACAAAGCTCAGGTGAAGTCCCTATATCAAAATGTGCACAACCTTTCAGATCTTTAACTCAACGCAGACCTCAGTAGCTGAAGCCCTGCTACCCGATGCGCCCAGTGCGTTCTACCGCAGCCCGGATTATTCCTCTCATTATTCCCAAGCCCCCTTAAAAACTGTGGGATCATTTCCTTCTGTGACTCCTCTCATCCGAAAGTCTGCCACAATCCTTCATGATCATCACCAGAAACTCTTTCAACGCCAAAATGTAGTATACTTCAGCCGCAGTGCACCCAGGGGAGCTCGCTTCAAGTTCTGGTGTGACCTGAAGCCGCCCTTCCAGGTTGTGCAGGCCCAAACATTCCAGTATCTGGAAGAAAGGGGGGGAGGGGGCGCAGAAGTTCATGGGATTCAATCCAACTGTCCTAGCTTCTCCTAGACACGCTCTATAGAACCTTCCCAGGCTTCTGAGGGACCAATTTGGGATCATGAAGGTTTCGGCTTGATGGGACCCTCAGTTGCATGGCATGCGTCTTGGGGTTTGAGGCCAAGTGGTTTTGGAAGTTCTGTACTGGTACTGAGCGCTTGACGTCTCAATGTTCTTCACGCCACGCAGGTGACTCGTGCCGAGGAGGCCTTGGGCAAATGGAAAGAAGCCGTGGCGAGTGAAGGCACCGCCAACCTCACAAGTTCTGGGTCTGTTGGGCTGTCATTTCAAGGGTTTCAAGGACTTGGGTGCGTCTTAGGAGGTTCCCTTATTAGGGAGCAGTCCTCGTGCTGGAGTTCCTTGGGGATCTTCCATGCAGATTCAGCGCTTTGTTTTAGTAAATCTGAGTTATGCTAAAGAGCTCTGTTTTGCGTTCGATAAGTCAGTCTAGGGCATGATGGGGCCTTGAGATGTGATATGATGTGTTTTTGGACTGATAGTACCAGGTTTCAGAGCCAAGGGTTCTGGAAAGGTGCTTACTTGGAGAAGCCAGACTGTAATCCCATCTCACATTTCGTTCTGGCCTCCTCGCCCTCACGCCGAAGACATGTCCTTTTTCCGAATCGCTTCCCTAACAATGAACGACGTACAGCGCTCTATGACAAAGCGCCGGGCAGGAAGGTCATAAGATGTCATCAGCGTTACGAGGCAAACTTATCTGTCGCGGTCACGGGTAGCCTTGGAAATCAACAACTCTCAGGTTAAGCCAACTAAAGCCTGATGTCACTTTCTGAACAGATCTGGGACCTCAGCCTGACATTATCGCTTGAATCTCCCCCTTTCCACCATGTCAACTGCTGTCGCGCAATTAGAACTCCTCTTTGCTGCCATTCCCCAAATTCAGCCGTCCAGAAAAACGTACCAGGGGGTGGGTTGCTAATAGGGAGAGTTGATTAAGAGGGACAGTGGCTGGAAGGAGCCGGTGTTGTGCATGGCCTGGGTAGCTGGGAGTTTTGCAAAACTACACCCCATAATTTAAAATCCGGAATATCGGATCCCTACATTCTCTTTTATAATCCCAATATTTCGCTATCCCCTAAGGGTTCCAATATTTGGGGCTTTAGCCATCCCAGTCCATCCCCTGTTGCCCAACAGCAGGGCCATGTCCTAATCCAACTCGGCGCAGCTCCTTTTCATGTATCAGCTAAGATGCAATGAATTAGCTTCATAACCTTGTTTCACAGTAAAACTCACATAGAACATTTGAAGGAGGACTTACGAAACTCGCCTCATTCCATTGGTTGACCATTTCTCAAAGCGATCACTTTCTTATGGACGAGTGCGTCAGGAGTGAAGCCTCATCCTGATGGAGAGCTTTTCTATGCCTGCGGCTGAGACTTCAAGCCATTGAGCACTCAGGCTTTTGATTGCGTGCTCCTTAACTTGTACAGAAAGCCGAATCACTGTCATCATGCATTTTGCCCAGGGTGAAGGGTAGCCCCCCTGCAAGCATAATCAAACCGCGTGCCCATGAAGGTGACCTACGAGTGTCCACTGGCCTACCACGTGGAGCGTGCATGGAATCTGAAGTCGGTCACCGCCTTATTTGATTCTTTCTGAAGTCAGGTCCCGTTTCTGAAGTCAAGCCCCCAGCACAGCTTTGAGCCCACATATGGATTTTCCGAAACAACTAGTCACAGGCCCCCAGCTTCAATTGCTTCGTGGGTCTCAATATAAGTTTCCTCTTCTCGGGAAGCGTTGCTTAGGCAACCTCCCAAACGCCTCAACAGCTGGTAGCGGATACATGTACCAAAGAAGGTAAGCGCTGCAGCTTCCAATTGCGCCTGTAATCATGTCCCCAAGACTCTGGCAAACTGCTCGTGCTCTCAGATGGCGGGAACCTTCGACAACAAAGTGCACGGCGTTGCCAGTGTACCCTTGCGTTTGGTGTTTGGGTATTTGGGGTCAGGCTGTAGCTGTAGAGCAGCAGGTTGCTGAGTCCGACTATTTCAGGGCCATTCCGGATTCTAGGTTTTCATTGTCCAGATTTTCACTGCCAGCAGTGCTCTGGGATCGTGTTTACGTGCAGGGGATCAGTGATGGCAAAACTTTCGCTCTTTGAAAGCTGCATTGTTGCTATTTCTTTGCTGCACACATGCGAAGATACATCGGGTACGCTTACAAAACCTTCAAAAAGGATTCAGGATGCCAGGGTAAGATTCATGGACTCACCACAAATGCAGCGCTTCTTGGCTCTCTGGCATAACATCACTGCCCTGGCATTCCGCCCAAGATTGCAGTCTCAAGTCTGAGAGCAAGCACTTAGCTAGAGGCGAGATTGAACATTAATACTGTTCCTAATGATCCTCTCCATGCTTCAGGAAGTTAAACTTGAACCCAATGCGAACCTTGTATCTTGTGGTCAAACAGCCTTCTGAGACTGAGTGGGCCAAGATGGCTCAACACAACTGAGCAGGAAACATGGACATGGGAATCCATCAGAGCTCGCACTTCACAAGGGGACGGTAGCAACGCGAACTCATGTCCCTAGATGATACGGCTACTCTTCTCACTCTGACCTACACCTACACGGGAGAACCCTAAAGGGGTATAGTGCAGATCCTTGATCCCATTAGCCCTCGGCGGGGAGCTTTCCACATTCCCTGATGGCCTGGAGCCGGTAGCTTGCAACATCTTGAGCCCGAAGCCCTTGCTGTTACCCCAATACGGGGTTTCAATAGCATGCGCCGTTCACAATGCTTGAGCGGCCTGGCTTTGGTTGCTGCCTGGAAGAGCTTCCAGGCCTTAGACTGGAAGATTGGAGTGGCTGTTCAGGCGTTCTTGGAGAGATGGAGCTTTGAAATTTGGGGAGTCGGTATGGCAGGGTTAATCGCACCTAAAGGGCTTGGGCTGGCATTTTCAGAGGTTGGTGCTTGCCGGGGATCTTTATCACAGTGTTAGCATCTTTGCTTATCACTGACAGGTGCACCGCGCGTTCTCCTCGTACGTGCTCAATAAGCCCCGCGGAATCGTGAGCCAAAGAAATGATGCCCTGGGACGAGATAGCGCTGCTCGACGGCAATTTGTGCTCAGGCTTGAAGTTTTTGGGTCTGTGGTCTGGGTTGTCCATGCGTCTTAAGATCTCTGCGTGGAGCGGATCGTCTTGTTCTGAATTGGGCTAGCCCCGCATGTATCTGGCGCAGAATCGATCTTAGTCCCGTAAAAAGGCCTCATGATACACAAGTTTGAATTGCACGAAACCCTGCTCAAGTTGCTTCATTCCTCTGTCGCATCGTGGTTTTTCTCATGAGTTTCTGGCACAGCTGTGTGGCTAGGAATTTGGAGAGGATTTTTTCATGCGATGGTTGAAGTCCACCTCCCCTCTCTTTGCCCTACCTGTGGGTTGTCTCAGCATCCGCTCCCAACTGACACCCAAGCTTCTCACGGTAACTGCAGTAAGCTCACGCAATTCCGTCTGTCTACTGCGGCTGATTAATGTTCTAGATACCTTCTTCTTCAGGAACATGGGACGGCTTATTCCAATGTTCCGTGATGGTCTGACATGCTGAGTGTCGTCATTGAGAGGCACCTGTAGGCGTGGCCTGCACTTGCATGTCATCGTGGCATCATGACATGGAGTTAAGGTCTATGAAGTCTTCAGCAGGCTGGCGTCTGAAGGCAAGTCTGGAGGGCCTGGGGTATTAATAGCTGGGCATTAAAGCCAGGGGACGCAAAGGAGCAGAGCAGGGCAGGTGATCTTATACATCCATGTCTTTAAACTTTGAGGAGGACGAAAGGAGGATCTTTGTAACCCCGTCAACAACTTCAATGCCAAAGCCTACTTAATCTTGCTGCGACTACCGTAACCAGTATATCCTCAGCCCAAGACTCCAAACTTTAGCCAGGCATACTAACCCTCGAGAAAGCTTCCAGCTGAAAACCTGTGATCTGATGAGCCCAGTACATGCATAACCTGATAAAGCCTAAGCCGCCCCAAAAATGAGCACGAAGGCCGCATTCCCGGGCCGCCGCCCCCTCCGCGTGTGGGGGCTGCAGGCCGTTTAGCAGCTCGTCGATCCCAAGCTGGCTCAGGTAATGTTGGAGTTTCTGCAAGTTGCCCGTTTGGAGCTGACTCCTGAAGGGTGAACTCCATAATCCCTCTGTAGCCTCCATGTATCAAGATGATTTCCCAAGCGCTTTCTACCATAATCTAGCTTAGTGTATGAGGTCTGGGGACGAGGAGATTTAAGGCTTATGTGTTGGGATTCCGGCAGGGGATGATGAGGTTTCGGATTTGGGGGGGGGTTCTCCTTAGTCTGGGCGACTTCTGCGATCAAAGGGGGGTCTGGATAAGGACCCGAATCTGTTGAAACACCCGTTTAGCAGCGTAAATGCAGAGAATTGCGGGTTGTATGAAGTCTGCATGCCTAGAGTGGTTATGGTATTGAGAGGAAAAAGAATTTCAGGTTTGAGCTAGATGACTTACTGGCTCGCTTTTGATATCTTTCGAGGTTCAGAGGCTGTTAGCGTCTGGCTCGGGCCGGGTTCTTTGGGATTAACCGTTGACGGCTAGGCGCTACAACTGTCAAAGACACGACCCCGATACTTTTCGCACTCCCTGCACAGTTGAGCTAATGCATCTCATGCCGTAAAAATCAACGATCGTTTTTGCGAGCAGTGGTGTATTGAAGCCTCATTTGTGCTCGCGACGGCTTTGACGCATGGCATGGCAGCGTTTACTTACTTCCTCATTCCTCTACTTTACAGCCCACGTGTTTATGTTAATGCAGAGTACCAGTGGGATAGCATCGAACTATTGCCCTCCACGAAAATTCACTTTCAGCTTCCTTCCATTTCAGCCTTTATAAACGCCAATCCAAATAGTCTCACACGGCCCGAGGACAAGGACACCTCCGGACTTATCGTCCTAACGAACGACAGGACACCGATATACTCAAAGAGGGGTCTCTTCCTGTTCTGGCAATCATGTTGCGGATCCTGCTCCTGAACAGCAGCTGAAAGAGCTTCCCACACGGGCACCGGGTTTCACAACAGTCGGGGAGGACTGTACTGCTGCATGTCTCTTGCCGTCTGCTTTGCATGGTGTGCACGTTGTCACGGATCGGTAGTGAGCATGCGTCCGGGCCACAGACTACAGGAACTGCAGGGCTGAACCCGGCCTTATGCAAGGTAAAAAAACCGATGCGCAGGTTAGCCAGGCAGGAAAATGCAAAAATTGCTCGAACTAATTATCATGTAGTTGACTCTCGGACTCCAGGGTACCTGGAGCACCCTGTTTCGAGAACGCCCCCATGTGTCTCAAGTCGTCCAGCTGCACGGCAGGAAGCTGAACTATGCCGTGACCAAGAGCCGCAAGTGCTCGAAGCGTTACGAGGTCACCGTCCAATCCTCAGCATGGTGGTGATCCAGGTCGTCATGAGTAGAGTCAGTCCTGGTGCTAAAGCATGTACAGTGCTACAACGAGCAGCAAAATCATGGGCCATTTTGTACCTCGAACGACAAGTCACCATTTAAAGGCAGCCAGAGTTGTCAATAGCTTTGAGAAGACTACGATCATGTTGTCGCATGTTCGGATCCTTAAGCCAGCAGAATGACTGCCGATTAAGGACGGCTTACCCAGGGTGCCTTCCGTAGAAATTTGGGGATCTCTTTTGGGTGTCCTGTTACATCAAAGAGAATCCGCGCAACACGGGATCCGCGCAGCCGGCAAAAAAGCCAGCCTTGCCAGCTGCTATCTTATCCGCTCTTAGCAACCATCTGGAAATGAACGCTCACACTGTCAGACATATAGCCCGATTGATAAAATCCGACAAGACGTATTCCCACCTTGCCCAACCTTGCACCAAACAATGGAACCATTTAATCCCTAACCCAATTAACAGCCTACCACTACTTCATTAGCCAAGGTACGGTGGTTGGAATGACATTGCTCTGAACTGCTTGGAGCTTTTGAAGGTTTGACGTGTTCATACTGATTCTCTGAGAGAGACAGGCTTCAAAATGTCTTGGATTCCTGCAGTCCCCAGATCATCCCCATGCTGAATCCTTTCCTTAATTCTTGCGGATAACCTTTAACCCATATTTGCCCGGAGGTAAAGGGTCGCTGGAATCCTGCAGACTCCCGCTTCCAGCAGCTGATGGAGCCGAAGCTCGGATTGGATAAGCCTTCAGCATGGTGTCTCATGGCAACAATCTCTGAGGGTATTAGGACAGGCTCTGCGTCACGCATGCCGTGAGAAGGAATGACAGAACATGACAGAACTCAAGGCCGCCAACTGTTTGAGGCAGGGTGTCCGCCTGATCTGTAGAAGTAGAGAGCCTGTTGCACTGAAAGCCATTGAACGGTTCTGAGGTATCGTTACCTACGAAACCAGACCAACGCCGGCAATGAGTACTGGACAATGCCGGCCAAGGCATCGGTTTTCTCGTAGCTGAAACATAGGGGTTGTACATGAGTCGGCACTCCTTGTGGATGTGCCCCCAGAAGCTAGTGGGAGTCAACTAGGTCCTCTTTGGCAACGTCTCGGCTGTAAGGTTGCTTCCGCGAGTAGGACAGCACTGAGGATTCGTGGCGGGGGTCAAGTCGGCAACAGTAGACTACACGTGTCAGCGGCTGCTGCTACCAGACCTGTACCTGCTCAAAACAATGGCTGGTGGGTGGTCTGCAGCATCAAGAAGAGGTTCTTGCCCCAAACATTAAGGAGGCGCGTCCGGCGCAGCTCTTGAAAAAAAGCCATGACAACCATCATTGAAGCCTGACCTGGACCAGTTTCAGGACCTGAGAACCGGAGAGGGCATTGTCATATTGCTGCAATGATATGTGTACCTCAGGACTAGTTATGGAGGTTACTACGCGGAAGAGGTTAGGAACCCCATTATACAGCTCTGAACGTGAGGCCTCCTTAGCTTTGAGTTTGGAACCTAGCATCTCCCATCGCAACCCCCTGGAACCTCTTTTGGTGTTGAACGACAAAAAACACAGAAGCAAGGTCAGGATCCTCGATCACTGGCGCGAGCCTGTGGAACCGCTACAGCCACCTGAAGTCGGGGTGTCCTGGCTTATGTGTCGAGGGCATGTTTGGGTTTTAGATGGCTTTTGGGGTGTGAGGGTTCTGTGTTGGGACTGGGAATATGACTTCCTGAAGTTGGGGAGTTGTTGTTTCGATTGTGAAGCTGTGCAGAGTTTTTGCGCCTCTTCAGATAGCTGCAGCAGTGCTTCATGTAGATTTGTCTGGATGGTGAAAGGTTGACAGCAGATCTATGTTTGTTAGGGCCCCTCAAAGATGGTGCAAGGACGTTTTTAATTAAAAGCATCAAGCGCCCGCTTAAGCGAACCTCGCTTTCAGGTGCCACCAGCAACCCAAAGCCCTCACAGACATCCCTGGCATTTGTTTCCTGCCACAAGGTGATGGATTTGCTTGATTCAAGAGCACGGACATCTACAGCCTCAAGTTACTACTGTACTACTAAGCATGTAGCGTTTTCTATTAAATCATAGAATGGCCCTTTGTCGTACTATGATGCTCGCAAGGATCGTTCCAAGCTCGAGTTTGAGCTTCTAGAAGGAAGGCAGGGCTTGCTGTGGGTACATAGAGGACCAGAACCCCGCTAGAGGCTTCCACAGGTGCAACCACTCATTGCTCCATGCATCGAGCTAGAGGATCTTCGCGGATTGTCCTTTTGTGGGCTTCATCAGTCTGCTGGCGCTGCAAGGTCTACTAGGGCCGGCATTTCGTGGAATCTATGCGTTGAAGCGTTATACATAAGGTCTGAGGTAGGAACAAGGAGGAAGGCTCCAGGGCTTTCAAAAAGAGCATTGGCCAGGCATCATCAGATTCGTCGACTGATCAGCCGTTCAGGCCTGGGACCTCTGTTTCTTCCCTTGGGAAATCTTGGGATGTGCTGGATTTGGGGGGGCTTCATGGGGCTTCGAAGATAAGGTTTTGCATCTTAGCTCGGAGTCCGCTGGGGGTTGGCAAAAAGCCATCCAGCCTTAAAAGAAAGTGCTGGCCACCGAGCCCACATCTATAGGCCAAAGGTTCTACCTAGGCGGCATCCTATCTAGTCATACTACAAGTGTATTACTATGCTTGTCGTTGGCATCGATATGAACAGGACTCGCCTATTCGCAATCATGATTGGAACTGATGCGCATCATGAAAGATACCATGTTGCAGAAGTTTTTGAGGTGTGGAGTCCTTTGTGGGTGGTAAGCAGTCAACGATACAATCATGTCCTGCCTGAACTTGTGAACCAAACATTGCAACGTGATGGATGGTATAATAGGTTCCCCAAGTGTGCGTCTGCAGCAACGCGCCCCAAGGTATGACAGGCTGCTCGATATGCGCGGGGGTCATTTCGAAGAGTCTTGATTGCGTCGCGCGGGAGTGCGCACCTGCAGCTTAAAGATCCAACCGGAGCTTGAAAGGAACAGGAAGGCTTGCGCATGGTCCAGAAAAGACAGGGAAGCGGGACGGATAAGTCTGAATGCAGCCTGTTTTACAGCAGGGTTTTGTTGGGCTTGCACTTGTGCCCATAGGCAGCTTCTCAATTTCGCTTGCGCCTTTTGCAAGAAGTTCTCATGCAGCCGTCCGCGTGGCAGGATGATAGTGCTCCTGTGTGGTGCATGGTGGTGCCATGTTGTCGGGACGGTGATGAGCAGCAGAGATCCAACACCCTTTACCTGAATGCAGTTGAAGAAAGCTTTCTGCATCCCTCATCGCTCTGAGTCTTGAGTTGCTTGTGCGTGGCATGTATTCTATGTTCCAAAACTAATTATTAGATGTCAGAGGATGCGGCTAC